CCGCGCTCTACAGAGTCCCGTCACAATCTGTGGAACGTACTCTCCTCTGACGGGGCAGTGAGAGACAAACCCAGCCAATGTATCAGCTCTTCTCTGACCTCACCGAACGCCACATGTTACTCAGAGCAGTCAACCAGTAAACCCCAGCAGGACCCGGTGGACAAGTTCGGCATTTCGGTGGCGCACGACATCTCCATCCATAGCTACCGAAAGGATTCCCACGGGGAGGTGTGAGCAGTCGTCACATTTGAGGAATGCATAAGCGGTTGATTTGGAGTTCCTTGCGAGGTACTTTTCTGTCTTTCAGTTGATACAACAGATATGCTACAACGCCAGAGTGTCATCATAACTTTCCTTTTTAATTGTTTTCCTTTTCTTGTTGTACTTTCATTTCAATGCTGCTTGCGCTATCGCTTCATCGTCCTGCGGGTGATTCGCTTTAGCAGGAATAATATTCAAGGACTTTAGACCAGATTGAAAGGTATTTGCACTACTATAGCGGACTTGCAAGATTCAGATGGACCAGGAATGCTCAACTAGACTGCAAACCGCACGTCATAATTCTAAGCTGTAGTTAGACGCTGGTCTTGAGATTTGACAGATCTAGAATAGCGAGGAGGTCAGTCAGGACGATTAAGACTGAACTTCTAGTAGCACCAAGAAGGCAAGACAGACGAATTGGGGAATTTCCTCCCTTTGGAGCTTCCTCGTGTCACAATCGTAGTATGGACGGATGATGCCGTACCTCGATTGATCCACTCACCTGCCCCACCAAGAACCGACACTTTTTCTCGGATTCATCACGACCACATCCACAACCATCATTGGACCATCTGCAGCACCTGGAAATACTCTAGATCGCGGCCTTACTATTTTGGAGCACTTAGAAGCATTGATAAAGACCGGCATCAACCTCGAACGATGGCGTCAGCGAACCCATATACACCACCTCCCCTCCCTTCTCCCTTCACGAACACAACCCCTCCACCGCAATTGCTCACCCAAGGCGCCGAAGCGCATCTCTACAAGACCGTCTTCCTCTCACCCTCCACTCCAGCTGCTCTGAAGGTCCGCCCGTCAAAGCCCTACCGCCACCCGATTCTCGACCGACGGCTCACGCGCCAGCGCATACTGCAGGAAGCTCGGTGTCTGGTAAAACTTGTCCGGGAAGGCGTCAATGTCCCCGCCGTGCTGGCGCTGGATTGGGAGGGCCAAACTGGCGAAAAGGAATTCGGAGGGGCCTGGTTGATGATGGAGTGGATTGAGGGACTGGTGTTGCGAGTCGTACTGGAGCGGTGGGAGAAATACATGAAGCGGAACCAGGCTGGCCAAGGCGCGGAGGAGCTGAAAAAGGAAGAAGCGCGGGTTCGAGACCTGCTGAGGAGAATTGGTCATGCTGTCGGGGCACTGCACAAGGCCGGCGTTATCCATGGGGATCTGACGACGAGCAATCTCATCCTGCGACCGCCTAGTCTTGCGGAGCAGCACCTCGCTGCTGACGAGACAAATCCGTCCATGGCGGGGGATGTTGTTCTGATTGATTTTGGCTTGGCCAGCCAGAGTCTGCAAGATGAAGACCGCGCGGTCGATCTATATGTGCTTGAGAGGGCGTTTGGCAGCACGCATCCTCGTACCGAGCCGTTCTTCGAAGAGGTCCTCAATGGGTATAAGGAGAGCTACAAGGGCGCTAGCTCGGCGTTGAAACGGTTAGAGGAAGTGCGGATGAGAGGTCGTAAGAGAAGTATGATTGGATGAGCATCTTGCTCGAAAGCATTTTATGATTTATACCCGCGACTCTCTGTCGTCCATTTGAGATATGAAGAGAGCAACGACATACACTTGCAATCATTCGTCATTATTGAAGAACCAAGATATTGCGCCACGCTCTATCGCACAATGCAACGAAGAAAATGTGTACTTTGCGAGAATAGAAACAGACCTCACAAAATAGCATCGCATATCCTCATGAACTCGTCTTGACACAAGTGCCTACGTCTGCCAGCGCAAAATATCCCTTGTTCTCCACCACTCCGCGGTCTTTGACCACTGCCGTGTACTTGACCACCCATTGTGGCTCAACATCACCTTTGATCCCGTCGTCGGCATCTGGAGCGGACGCAAGGATTCCAGCGCCCCTCTCCCCTGGACCCAACAGCTCCCGTGTCGTGCCTACCGGCAGGATATCGTTGCAGTCGTTATGCGTAAGCAGTTGGATATTCTCTTGCTTCGCATAGAGAATCAGCGACTTGGGAACGACGCAGCAGTCCTTGAGGTTGATCTGATCAACAGACGGCCTGACCTTGGTATGTGGCAGGAACCGAGCGAGCCTGTCGCTTCCAAACTCCGCCACACCCAGTTGAGCAATCTTGCCTTTCTCGTGTAGCCCCTCAAGCGTCCTCCACGACTGAATGATGCTGTCAAAATCATCTGGCTCCTCGCTTCCGTCATCAGAGGACACTTCTTCTTCGCTGTCGTCCTCCGCGTCGAACAGAATCCCAGGGAAGGAAACAATAAGCAGGTCGATAGAGTCCACATGTAGCTCTTTCAATACCAGTTCAATCGCCTGCCGCGTATGCGCGCACCGTCTCGACACCGGGATCCCGGGTAGAAAGAACAGTTTCACCGTAATATCGTACTGCGACCTCTCCTCTGCCAGCCCGCCCTGCGAGAAATCGATCGCGGGAATATAAAGTGCATCATCCTGCATCGATGTCCATGCCTTGTATCTCTCCGTAGGTTTTGTCTGAGTCTCATCGGCGGCCGCAAGCTGTTGCGCAGCCTGAAAGTTCGCTCGTAGCGAGTTGATCAGCTCGACGTTCGATTTCGTTGTACCTGCATGTCTGATGACGGACGAACCGCCACTCGTCATGAGATTTCTGCGAAATGAAACACATCTCAATCAGTCCCGTCCGGTGACAGAGGGGTAGTGCCTTAGTCACAGCAGCTTGCCACTTACGAGGTGGATAGTATCAGCTTCATGGCTATTTCCTTGATTGTAGACAAGATACAAGGAATACAAGCCGGATATACTGATTTATTTTTCAGTTGTGTTGCGCTTGGAAATGGTGACAAATTGCGCTTGATAAGGCGGATTGCATCGGGGTCGAATTGCTAAGCAGCCCCGCGCCCGCTGTGATTTCCGCTCCGGGAATGTAACCATATCGGTGACCGACACGGAAACTGCATACTACGATTTCCCAGCCGCTTGTTATCAGATTAGGATGCATATGCGGTAAATGGTATTAGGACATCATTTCGCAGTAACTACAGAAGATTCAATCTACGAAAGTAGATCACTGATTTGTTGCAGCATTGGCATGTCGTTAACTAACTATATTACACCACATTGGCATAATGCCATCAAATTCTTAGCGCGACAATATCAGTCATACTCGACAGTAGGATCCCAATCCGTCGGCGAATACTCTCCCGTATTGAGCGACTGCATATCCTCCTCCGAGAGCTCAAAATCAAAGACATCCGCGTTCTCCTGAATGCGCGCCGGCGTAACAGACTTAGGAAGCGCAACGAACCCCTACATTCCTCCGTCAACTTTATCCTGCCGTCAATATCAACAAGCAGACGGAACACTTACCTTCTGCAAGCTCCACCGGATCATAATCTGCGCGGGTGACTTGCCGTGCTTCTTCCCCAAGGTCTTCAGAATAGGCTCGTTGAGCCGATACCCATGCGCCAGCGGCGAGTATGCCTCAACCACGATATCCCGTTTCTGAATCCACTCGACAATCTTCGATCTATCAAGCCATGGATGCAGCTCGTACTGCCCAACGTCTATCTTGCCCCGGCCCTCGCCGCCCTTGATATACTCCTCCAATTCATCCAGGTGATGGATGCCGTAGTTCGATACGCCGATCGACCGAGTCTTTCCGGCCGCCTGCGCCTCGACTAGAGCGCGCCATGAACCAAGGCGAGCGTCCTTGCCGCCGTAGGGAGCATGAATGAGGATTCTGGTCGTATCACTCAGCTACATCCTTCGCCATTTGGCGGGGTMCGTGGTTACCTACAGATCAAAATAATCCACCTCCGCTTCTCGCAGACTAGAGTCGACCGCGTGCTTGGTGCGCTCGTACCCCATCGAGCCCGGCGGGATTTTCGTCGTGAAGAAGACTTCGGCTCGATCGAGGCCGGAGTTCTGGATTGCCCGGCCGCAGGCTTTTTCGTTCCGGTACATGATCGCAGAGTCTACCTATATTAACATCAGCTTGTATTCATACTCTGCAGTGCCGTAGCTTGCATACATGGCGATAGCCCGTTTTGAGAGCTTCTAGGGTGGACTTCTCTGTTTGAGATGCGGGACTGCGCCGGTGATTTTGTGTCAGTAAGTCGGATATATATTTTGTGTATGTTATACGCACATCATGTACACCTGCTCCGGTACAGAGATTAGCATTGTAGATAGCGAAGGAAGGTTCCGGGTATTCAACTCACCCCATATCCAAGGACGGGAATCTCATGACCCGAGTTCATTCGATATGTCGAATGCAGAGTCAATGACTTTGCCATGTTGCGCAACATAAACAGATTCAACTCTGTGTACTTCAGTATGATATTGTCGGATGTGTGATGTGGAATGGAACTGAGGTTGTTGTGAACGTTGCCGCAATGAGATCATGGAAGAATGGTGGACCTGGCTTCATGAGGGGCACAGCTAAGCTCGCTCCATGTCCGAGGATTGATATCTACGAACCGAGTTTGGATTATGCTATGACACATTGCTATTGATGGAATTAGTTTCCAGGCGATTCTTGGCAGGTTCTGCCTTCTATTTACGCGTTGGATATTGAAGATTGACAACCGTGAAAGGACGTTCTACCTTACGCGAATCTCAGTTTACAGGTACAGGCTCAGACAACTGAACGAGAGAAAACTGGACATGTGACACAAATTAATGAATCAAATTGGATATCATATCATAACTCATAAGGTATCATCAAAGAATCAAAGCCGCCAGATCCAACGAACCACTCAGCCTAGTCAACTTAATCGTATTTCTTCTCCATATCCACCTCCGCGCCTCTCTGTCTGACCTTCCCCTCATCATGCACATCTCTCCACTTCTCCTCCTCAGTACGATCACCCTTGACCGCAGCACCAACCGATCCCAAAGCCCCCTTGGCCCGGTCCGCGGCGCCCTCACCCCAATCCTGCAACTGACCCTTAGCCTCCTGCGCCTTGCCGCTAGCATTCTGCTCCTGGCCCTCGCGGCGCAGATTCTCGTTGCCGATCAAGTTGCCGAGCGACTCCTTGGCCGACCCAACGGTCTGATCCCAGGTGCCCTGGGTGCGCTGGGAGTTGTCCTTGGCCGCGGCGCCGGTCTGCGGGTCAGCCGCGACGGGACCCAATTTGGCGGTCTCGTGGCTGGCGGCGTGCTCGGCTTTGCCCTGGTTGTGGGTGGCTTCGCCTTCGGCCTGGGGTGCTGTTAGTGGACTGGACGTGGTACTTCGAGAGACGGGGATGGGGTTGGTGCATACCTGAGTGGATGGGTTGCCGGTGATTGAGCCCATGGCGCGCTGGGCGAGGCCAGTGGCCTGGTTGATGTAGCTGTTGAGGGTGGAAGCGTTGGTATTGTTGTTGTTGGTGTTGTCAGACATGGTGATTGATTGTGTTTGTAGGATGTGGATGTTTGTAGATTTCTGTTCAAAATTGATCTTATTTGAAATAGTTCTTGGATGGTTTGTTTCTGTTCTGATATGTTTGCTCGACGACTCAGGGATGTCTGTGGCTTTATATAGAGTAGACAATTGGCATATTTGTGGCTTGAGATAAATGACATCATGTAATGACATCATTGCACGTGGTCACAAACTTGGGCCCTGTCGCATCCATCAGATACCCAGAAACAAATGCACAACATGTTGGATGGCATCATGAATGCGTCATGCATCATAGAATAGAAATGAAGTCTCAAGAATGTATTCGTTTGGCCGAGGAAATGCCAAGCTCTTATTTTAGATGATCGGAGTCTATACAGCCCGATAATGAAGCACCGCTAATGCAAAGTGACAAAGTCTATCACAGATCTCGCCATCGTAACATATGAAAAAGAATGAATGATCGTTTTGGCCATGCCGTAAACTCCCAATAACTTGATTGGGTTACCAATGGCATATACCTCCCTCACTGTCATCTGCCGTCCAGGTCCCTGATAACCCGACCACTTCCAGGTGGCCGTCCGCATGCTCCCCCAATTTGCTCAGGGCTGCGAAGCTCGGCTCCGCTGGACCGTTGCTTAGCAGTCGTCGCGCCCAGGCGTCAATAGCGGGTTCGCCAGTTTCATCGCGCGCCTGCTTCAAGAACGGGATCAGCGCTGTCCCGCCCGTGCCGCGCAGCTTCTTGCTGCCAGGCCGAACATTGGCCAGGTTCATTGCTAATGATGACCTCCTGGCACTGGACGTCTCGGGTGCACGATTTCGTGCATCCCGAGCGGGGATGATGATGTATCGGGACACCACCTGAATGTGTTTGTCTCGCATGGCCCGCAGCATAGCGAGACAGGCATCGTAGGCGAGGCATAGTGCTTTGTCCGAGCGCCGCGCTCCAACGTACTCCCGGATATTGGCCACAGCGCCGACGTGTTCCAGGAAACGCCGATGAGGGCCGGGCATGTAAGTTCGCATCTCCTGAATGAATCCGTGCCGCGGTGCTCCCGCAACGCCTTCCTTCTCATCCTTGGACGGAGTGCTGGAGGGACGAGTCTCGCCGGTGGGCAGGTGTTCGATGCCAAGGGCGATGTCAAAGAATTGGATAAGTGAACTCTGAGCGTTGCTGCCACCTCCATATTGGCGATAGTCGGGTTCCTCGCTTCCATCGTCGTACAACAGGCCGTTGGGTAACCCAGCATCAGCCATGTTCTTGCTTCCGGCAAGATATGGCCGGATTCGGTGATAGAACACGTGGGGATCACAATGCTCATACATCCGCTCGAGGAGCACACCAATCTGGTCCAGAATCTCGGCAATACTTTGCAGGCACTCTGTAACTACTCTGCTATTTCCAGTCCGCGCTGCGGAAATAGCTTGTAGAGCCAAGGGAACGGCAGGTCCTCCACAGGCCTCAATAGCCACCGAAACCAGATAGAACCATCGTTCATCTAGTGATCCCGTGAGGGTATTGATGCAGGCGAGATTATCCAGATCGTGCGCGGGTTCATCTGGGAAGATAGGCTTGTAGTTCCACAAACACACTGCGGCATATGTGGCCACCGGAGGGAGCTCTAGATGGTCGCAGATCTCGAGAAGCGGAATAGTAAGCTGAGGTGGAATTCTCTGGGTATCGCATCAGTATCCGCATGTGCACTGCAGAACTCGTTTGTTAAAAAGCCTACCTCTTCTGGTGTCTTGCCACCCCAGACGTAACCGTGAAGCATGAAGGTCAAGACAACATAAGCCCTTCGCCACTCCTCTTCGGAATGTAGGTATTTGGTCTCAAGAATAGGTAGACAGTTGACGACGTCACGCACTCTTCCACTGTGTAGAAGCGACTGTATATTGGACGCTATCCATTCCCACTTGGCATAGTAAGGATCGGGAAGGGCCTCGAGTGGCGGTTCAGATGGAAGGAAGCCATGATCTGGTGAGATGCCGTAGTCCGCGAGAGCGGGAATAGGAGGAAGCATTGTGTAGGTAGGATTTAATGCACACAAGCTGGAGTAGCAGCTCGAATACAGAACAGGATAATATAAGCAATTGAGAATTAAAGCCGAGCCCCTGCTTATCAATCGTATGCTGGAGTATCCGCGTTCCTCCTGGGAGGCGAATCCGTGACTTCAGGTTCCAAAGTTTGTTAAACTCTGCTCCGGACCTGACACCCGAGTGGCTCAGATCGGACGATACCCCAGATCCTTTGATCGGACTGGAGCGTACGATGAAGTTGATCGTGCGCCTATATTCCAAGGCTTGAGAAGCAAATGGTCGTGAGGTAAAACACCGATCAGCGGAAGAGACGAGACTGGATAGAGACTGGACCGAGACAAAGCAGCCAGGCAGTCCTTCAGTCAGATTCCACTGTATTACAAGAGAAAGTAGGATAGGCCACACAAAGAAGCAAAGGGGAACCCCGCTGATAAAAGACAACGCTTCCCCGATTCACGCGGAGGAGAGCGGAAGCAAAAGGCTACAAGTACAGGAAGGAAGATGATCAGTGGCCCTTCTAATTCGGAACCTTGGTAGAAAAAAGTTGCTCTTCCGGTGGGGGATGGCGTGAGGATTAATAATGCTCGTAGAAATGACAGGATAGAAGGGAGCTGGCGTTGTGAGTTATAAATTGGTCGTGTGCTCTAATTACTGAAAGAGATTGACCGAATTGACCATGACTGGGTGAGGAATATTGACGGCTCTTCCAGAACAACCGAAGTCTCCCGGCAAGGACGGATCATTAATCAGAATGTCAGGAGACAAGAAGTCCTGGCCAATAGATAGAGATCATTCAGACCGGAGAACAAGGGGGTGAGTGTCCCGTGGAAAAATGAGGCCGATATAGGCAGAAGACTTAAGCTAACTTTTCGCAGAGTGAGTGGTGATTATTGAGCACTGGGTGGGCCAGAGACAGGGTGATGAGACACGCAAGAGAAGGTGACATGAGGAGGAGATCATGATAAACACTCCAGGATGCTAGGAAAAGTCAGTATGCAGGTTATAGAATGCCATTATGGCAGCTTCTTTTGTACTTCTATATCAAAACATCAAAAGATATACTCCAGATACTCCAGATGTACCCATGAAGCCATGCGCCAGCACCAGCGGCAGACTGGGTGGAAGCGAAAGGGGGTCACTATTTGACGAGTGCTAGCCTGAGTGCTAGAGAATGAACCGGAACCCGCTCTGACTGGCGGCCGCCGCCTCCCAGCCCGCAAGTGTGCGAAGTCGGGTGCGGTTCCCCCTCCATAAGCGAGTCCGCCGGCGCATTCGCCTACACCCACGCCACCCCGTTCGAGTCTGCGGTGAAAGCAGGGACTCAAAGTTTATTCTGGGTCACATGATTTGMCATCTGAAGTACACCTTTTGGGAAACACCTATTGCGGAAATCAAGTACCATAGTATCTGCTAGCTACTCCTAACAGAACCCAAGCCATACTCGCATGGATTATGGCAATATCGGATATAAGTATCTCTCCTAGTTAGACAAACAGAACAGTGTCGGCGGAAGACATGAGCCCTACATGGAGTCTAATATGGTCTGGCGCGCGAGGCTGGAGTGGCTCATTGCTCAATTCTGTACAGACTATATAAAATGGATCAAAGTTCCGTCATCAATCTCATATTGTAACATGCCAACCCAACGCCGTTCCGAGTGCGATAATTTGCAAATGATGAACTGAATGGACAGAAGACTTCGACCGGTGATTCTGGAAAGAAGGAGGTACACCATAAGAGAGTGTTTAATGCTGACTCCATTGGATGGTGTTCAGATCAATGCCCTCCTGGACCAACTCCCACAGAGGACTCAGCTCTCGAAGGAAATGGACACGATCCTGAACCGCCTTGAGGACGTAGTCGATCTCACTATCTGTAGTGAACCGTCCAATACCAAAACGAATGCTGCTGTGAGCGCTCTCATCACTGCTGCCCAACGCACGAAGGACGTAGCTGGGCTCCAGCGAGGCAGAGGTACAGGCACTACCGGACGACAGAGCAATGTCCTTTAGAGCCATCAGAAGGGACTCGCCCTCAATATAAGCGAACGAGACGTTGACGCATCCAGGGTAATGGCGCTCAGCATCTCCATTGAAGGTGGTGTGTTCCATAGCCAGAAGTCCATCCAGTAGGCGCTTCGACAGCCGTTCAACGTGTTTCCTATCATACTGCTCGATACATTAGTATGAATGATTCATAGCATCGATGAAGTCATAGCGAGAATTTTCAGTAACGGCCGACTCATCACCCCTGCGATGTACGTCATGCTGCCATGACAACATACCAAAGGTATGAAGCTACCGTCATGGTGTCCGAAAACTCATGCAGTATATAATCCCCGTCGACAAACATCCAAAAAAACACAGAAGTATGAAAGAAAATAACTTACGTCCATATCCTGACTGGCGATGCGGCAAGCCTCGCCGAAACCAACAACCAGGTGAGGAGCGAGCGTACCACTGCGCAATCCTCGTTCCTGTCCACCGCCGGAGATGATGGGCTCAAGGCGAACCCTAGGTCTGCGCCGAACATAGCAAGCACCAATGCCCTTGGGGCCATAAATCTTGTGGCTGGAGATAGACATCAAATCGATGTTCAGCTTGTTGACATCCAAGGGTATCTTGCCAACTGCCTGGGCAGCATCAGTGTGGAAGAAAACCTTCTTCGAGCGGCAGAGCTTTCCGATCTCTTCCATGGGTTGAATCACACCAATCTCATTGTTGACGGCCATGATGCTGACCAGAGCCGTGTCGGGTCGAATGGCCGCTTCGAGATCCTCCATCCGGATCAGACCGTTATTTTGAACGGGCAGATATGTGACTTCGAATCCCTCATCTTGAAGATGTCGGCAGCTGTCCAATACACACTTGTGCTCAGTCTGCGTTGTGATAATGTGCTTCTTCTTGCCGGAACGACCAAAGAATCTGGCCACGCCCTTGATGCTCATGTTGTTACTTTCGGTGGCACCGCTCGTAAAAATGATCTCCTTTGAATCCGCGCCAATCAGTTTTGCAATATGCTCTCTGGCTTGTTCGACAGCCTTCTCCGACTCCCAACCATACGCGTGAGTCCTGGAATGAGGGTTTCCGTAGATACCGGTGAGATAGGGAAGCATAGCGTCGAGAACACGAGGGTCAAGCGGCGTAGTGGCCTGCATATCCAAATAGATGGGTCGTGTTCCTTGATCCATGACAGTTGCTTGTTTCAAAATACCGGCGGAGGGACTCATCGAAGCATCTCCGGAGATGCCCGATGCAGGAAGTTCGACCTTTCCAGGCTGAAGACCTGTCTGCTTGATGAAGTTCTTCTGCTCCTGTTTGATGGCCGTGTCGATCGAAACCTGAGCATTTCCCGCTTTGGTCTCAGTAACATATGTTCGTCTCGAAGCTGCACCACCGGAGGTGGCGAGCACCCGTCTGGGGAAGGACGCGGTCGCCAGGGAGCCATGCTGAGTCGACGAGAGTCGACGAGCATAGGCACGAGATGCCTGTCTCAAGGCAGATGGTGTAACGCTAGACATAATTTAGATGTTGTTAGATCCTACCATTAAAGGCTTGATGGTCAGTTGATAGCAGAGTGGACGACAGCTAAGGAGAAAGGCGCGAAATCCTAAGAGTGAGAAAAAGGTTGGGTCCGGATATATCATTGCCGCTAAGCCCGATCGGAGCAATCAGATAACTCGGTGAATTCGCTCGGTCTTTTCCACCGGAGTCTCAGCCATCTTTTGCGGACCTATCTATTGTCCGATGAATCATTTGTACAGGCTATACCTCTTTATAATTGTCAAAATGGGTAGTTAGAACATCCATATTATGCCATCAAGTGAACAGAGTTGGAAGGAAGATCTCCTATAGCTTCTGTGGGGAACAATAGGCAGGGTACGGTGAAACGCGATTACCCCGCGGTTGTTTACTCTCCATTTAATATTTGGAGAATAGCAGTATGTCAGAGATTTTCTCGACTGTACTCCGTATTTGGGGTTTGTTAGGCCATTATTATGTATCGTCGAGTTATTACGGTACATATCAATATGGTGATGCCTAATGTTATAGCAAAAGTTAGATTCAAGCCAAAGGAACACCAAGCCTGAATAACCGGTGCCTAAACCAGCTACGGAGTACAGGGAGACTCCGGCATTCGGTGTGGTTCTCCGTCGCTGCGCCACACCACGATCGATCGGTATGTTCAGTCACAAGGAACATGTATGACTTCATCATATCACAGTGCACAAATGAGCAAAGGAAAATAGGGCTCAGATTAGTCTCAATTTTAATATTTATTTAAACTTATTGCTGTATTTCATCGATCATTTATTGTACCCAATACTAAGAGTATAATACATACCTGGTGCATCTCAGCCACAGTTACCTCGACAGCATCCTATGTCATAGCTCAGCCACAGCGCCGAGCAGACGAACCACTAGTATATTGGGCTGGGCTGAAGGCTGCAAATCCACCCCAAGGAACAAGAAGGTCGCTTTCCCCCCACTCCTCACCACCGAGCCATTTCTCGCTCTAGTATCACTCTTTCTTTGCTACTCCCTGAGATCCTCCTCCTTTATCCCCCTAGCATCATCTCAAACACACCTAGATCCCACCGTTGTCTATACCGAGCACTTCCGCCGAGCAGCTGCACAAGAGGTCCCACCACCAGGAACACGGAGATGAGTTTGAAGGGTTTCCAGAAGAGCATTGTTCGCGCACCGCAGCAATTCAAGGCGCGGTTCAATATCGGCGAACACACCAAGGATCCGATCTATCAAGATGCCGAGCGACGATTTCAAGAACTTGAGAAGGAGACCAAGAAGCTCCATGATGACTCCAGGAAGTATTTTGAAGCTATTAATGGTACTGATTTGCTCGTGGTCGAATTCGTTAAGCAAGATCCGGGTAGCAAGATGGACTAATGAACACATAGGCATGTTGAATCACCAGATCGAGTTCTCCAAGGCCATGACAGAATTATATAAACCCATCTCCGGTCGCGCCTCGGACCCGAGCACATACACCATTGAAGGCAACCCGGAAGGAATTCGGGCTTGCGAGGAATACGAAGCGATTGTCCGCGACCTACAGGAGTCACTTGCGCCCGAGCTAGAGTTGATCGAGACTCGCATTGTGAGTCCGGCAAATCAACTGCTGGAAGTGATCAAGGTGATTCGGAAGGTAGCGGTGAAGCGAGATCACAAGAAGCTGGACTACGATCGACACCGCAACGCTTTGAAGAAACTGCAGGAGAAGAAGGACAAGTCGCTGAAGGATGAGAAGGCACTCTACAAAGCGGAGAATGACGTGGAGCAGGCCACGCAGGAATACAACTACTACAACGACCTGCTCAAAGATGAGCTACCCAAACTCTTTGCCCTCGAAGCCGAGTTCATCCGCCCGCTATTTCAGTCATTCTACTACATGCAGCTGAATGTCTTCTACACACTGCATGAGAAAATGCAGGGCATGAATATCTCCTATTTCGATTTGACTCTGGATGTTGAGGAGGCATTCGAGAAGAAGCGAGGAGACGTCAAAGAGCGGGCAGAAGCACTTACCATCGTCCATTTCAAGACCAAGGGCCTGGGCCGACAACCCTCCAAGTTCACACCTCCCGGCAAGGACAAGATGGCGTACGAGAGCAAGAGCACATTCGCCCGCACGAATCGCGCCGAGGAGACTGACAACCCTCCTCCACCCTATTCGGCCTCTGCAAGTACTGTTGCGGCTGCCAAGGCCAAGCCGGCGCCTCCGCCACCCAAACCCAAGCCCGCCCGATTTGGTGCGGCGGTCGAGACGGTTACAGCCTTGTATGACTACGAAGCACAGGCGCATGGTGATCTCAGCTTCTCTGCGGGCGACGTTATTGAGATTATTCAGCGGACGGACAACCAGAACGAATGGTGGACCGGTAGAGTTGACGGACGAGAGGGCCAGTTCCCAGGTCGGTTCCATTCCATGTTCTTCTTTCTACTCGAAAGACTAACGTTCCTTTTACCACAGCAAACTATGTCCAGCTGCGTTAGCATGCATATCTTTACCACTTCACCGCTCATGTCACAATATTCATATTTTTCTTGCCTTTTGATGCTGCTGTTTATTATCGACGGCCCTTTTCAGGAGTTGTGGTGTTCTTTCGCACAATCTCTTTGGCTTTCAGCTCCAGCAGCGTCGTCAATCTTTACTTCGTGTTCTCTATTTCATCTCCCTACTTGCCTATTATAGAGCATTGCGTGCATGAAGATACTCTCTTTGCTTGTAAATAGTCTCCAGGCTATTCTTACGTCACAATTACGCCCAAAGGCATTCGATCAACGACGTTGGACTTTTATGACACGCCAAAACTGGCTCTAGAGGCTCCTGTATTTGGACTATGCGGCAAGCTGTGGACCAGTGCCTGCAGTCAATGTACAGCGCAAGTGCGGACATTGTAGGTTTCACAGAAGCCATTTCTGCATCGCTAACAGAGCGAACACCTATAGCACAGGTAGTTCCTACTCTCGCACCAGCTGGTGCTGCTTAAAATGCCGTAGTTCGTTTCGATATGATGAATCGTCGTTCATCTTGACATCTTTGTAGCCACAGAACTAGAAGACCGTGCGAACACATCCGGCCATTTGACGTTTATCTACCTAAAGTAATATTTTCAATGCAGCTCCTACGGTGGAAATGACGTCTCCTTATTATGTCGACATCTAGCCCATTGCACTTCTCAGTGTCCGGGTCAATTCATGAATGCAGCCATAGACTTCGGCGTAAAGTTGGAATTTCCATCGATAGCAGCAGACCTGGTCTGTTTACAACTCGGCTGTTGCAAGTATCCATTGTAGTACGAGAGGTACTGCTGGGAATCCAATTCCTTATGGAATTTCTTTACTGCTGCTGCTGCTGCTGCTCATGCTCTGGAATGTATCCAGGTACMTAGTATAGCCGCTTTTGTGTTCGGGTCAGCTCTGCTGGTTTCAGAATAACGTTCCTCGCCGCTGAGGCCAATCCAGGAATCCTGTGCATCCATTCATGTCTTCTTGCGGTGTAGTTTGTGGTCGATGTTATGTATTCCGAGAAGAAGAACAGAAGCCTGCTCAGTCTGCTAGGTTTCAGGAAGGCTGTAGTTCCATGGAATTTGGTCCAGTAGCCTCTGTCAGACCAATTGTTCGGCATGTCCGTAATGACGCCCACCGGAATCATCGGCATTGATTTCGGGACCCATTTTGGAATCACCGGAGGCGGCTTTTTAATCTTGGACGGGTTGACGTTGACTTGGTATGCGTCTGGCAGGAAATACCAGATAGAGTAGGTTGTATTCTGTGCGAGTTCTTCCTTCTTGTCTCGGATAGCCTTGAGTTCTTTCTTTTTGGCCTCTAGTTCCTTTTCTTTGGCCTCCTTGGACTGCAGTCTGGCCATTGTGTCTGGCTGCGGGTGCGGAGATTTGATGGGACACTGATCACGGCTTCGCCGACGCTGGCGAGTTTCCGTGGCACAAGATATAGGTCTCAACATTGTCTCCATAGGAACTGTTGCTCCCAAGGCGGAGGCCTGAGTGACCAGTGCTTGCAAGCCGCGGGCGATAATGGGATTCCTCTGCATGGCAGGCCTCGTTTCGTTCCGTGTAGATCCTTATTACCAGTCGTGCCATCTTGTCATCCACATCCTTACCTGACTGAGTGAATGGGCAGGCAATGACTTTCTGATCAAGTGCGCGGGAGCTTTAGGGAAGGATCCCAACCCATTGACTCTCCGCAGTTCTGCGAATGAACCCAATGCTCCTAACGAGGTTGGCGAGGGAACGTCAAATGTGTGAAATATCAGGGATCTGGTTGGTCTTGTAAAGCGTCAATTCCTCCCCTAGTCGTCCAATACAGAGGATCGGCAATCCCGGAGAGTCTCACTATTGGCCCATGGCTCATCTAAGACTTCGACATAGGCAGCCAGATCAGCAGGGCTTCGGTCGAACGGGGTACCACTGGCCATCCAGCGGAGAGTCGAGTGTGACATAGGTAATTGACACAGTCAAGTAGGGTGCCTTATTTAGTAAAAGGCAAGCCGCTCCAATTAAAGTTCAGTTCTAGGTATAAGAATGACGGTTCGTTAATCCTCCCCTAGATGCCTCTAAGATGCTCTGCGAATGTGAACCACAATAGATACGTAATCCTTCGACATGCTGAATAGGCTCCAGGTCGTTAACTTCGGGAGCTCATAGATAGTCGCCTAGTATAGCCTGAACCTCAACGGAGTGGGCTCTTTGGTCCAGGTTGACTGGCAGAGAGGTACAACGTGTGCAATAATGCCATAGACACCTCGCCCGTACTTGTTTTCGACGACCAGCCATGAAGACATAAACGCGGTCTATCAATATTGCCTCGGCCTGCGTCAATACAGGTAGATTTGGTAACTCACCTGGATCCATGTGCTTTTCGACAGTTGTTTATGATCCCATCCCAGTTGCTATATACGGAGATACATCCATCAGGTAAGATGGATTAACTTTCTCCCCAGCACAACATCTGTTCTCTCCACTTCGTTGGCATCAGGGTGCCTCTCACGCTTTCTGCGTGAAGACTTTGGTTTTTCATCAGTTAAATCCTGCTGTCCAGTAGTAGTCAGGCAGAGCACGGGGGCACGGAACAATCAGATCGTTGTCCAGCAAGAGCTTCCAATCAAGCCCGTTAGTGATTCAAATTCATGGAACCATTCTTCGTTTCAGCGGACATTAAATCTTTTTCTCGTGAACATGAGCTCCTGAGCGTCCTGTCTGCAGACAAGGGCAAGTCTTGGGCCCGAGCTGTGGCAACAGTCTTGCACGTTTCGAGCTGGTGAGTGCTGATCGAGGTCTCATTGTTGATTTGTATATGGAGATTATAGAACAACTGGTCGGATGTTATCTATGAACATGAAAATATTAGACCTGGGTCTTTTGCATTGTGTTAGGGGAGAGAAAGAAGCTCCACTGGTCATACCTCTGTACTGTCTATCTCAGGTTCGGATATCTCAAAGAATAGTCTCTATTTCCCTTGATTGGCCTTTCGGCTCCGGGGTTGCAACTGTCCAATTTAGCGATCGGTCTAGTGACTTTTCTCAATCGTGGTGTTTATGCCGGAACTCATTTCTTAGCCCTTCCGGAAGGGAAGGGCTACTAGGCCTGTTCCATTGAGGTGGGTATACCGGTCTGCCATATGGGCTCGGCTTCGCCAGTTGGCGCTATGTATAAAAGGCCCAAGTCATCGCAGAGATAAATTATAGTACAGCGGTTCTCTGTAAGTTGAAGAGTATATTGAGCGCCAGAACTTGGCAGGAATGAGAAGGAAACAGAGCAGTTAATATACTATCCTGGGAGGGACAATGATCATTCACTATATACAATGGAAAGACCATTCTTTTATTGACAGGCTTTACATGCAAGCACAGCTTCACTGCAATGATCAAAGACAGAAGTAGTGAATAAGGCACCAAATGATTGGCTAGCCTGTCATAGTCTTTTAGCACCAAGACAAAATATTTGATCATCGTCACAAGCCTTGACAAGCACTACAGCAGTTGTCCGTCTCCACCAGTCGGATCTCCTATCAGAGGAATGCTCGATTCTAGCTAGAATCGAGAGCGTCTTATATATCATCCTCTATCTACTTTTTAATTTCATCCCAAAATCCATTCTCTCCAATATCTTCCTCCCTCAAACTTGAATCTACATATCCTCAAAATGAGAGTCGCAGCTTTGTTCTCCCTCCTCCTCAGCACAGCTCTCGCCGCTCCCCAGAGCGACTCCCAAGCTCTATCCAGCGACTTAGCCAACTGGTCCTCCCTTGGAAATGCCTTGTAAGTCTAGCCCTTCTCAGCTTTTTGAAGCTTGTACAAATCTAAAAACCCGCCAGACAATCCCTAAACTTCAACTTCACCGTGCCCACCAAAACCGCCAACCTCGACAACATCTCCCCACCGCCTCGCTCGCTCATCCCCGAGGTCATCACCGCACTGCCCCCGTCCGTCCTAATGGAACTCATCATCCCGTCTCAGCGCAGCGCCCTCGCCAGCCAGTTCAAGGCCGGGAGCACACCCGCCTGGTACGCAAGTCTCCCCAGCGATGTGCAGAGCTACCTGTCCGTAGTGAAGAGCCAGATCTCCGATGGCGCGTTGACGGCTACCACGGGCCTGGCGTATCAGACTGCAGCTACTGCTTCGGCTACGGCGACGGAGACGGGTGCGTCTGCGGGGGGAGCAACGTCTACGTCGAAGGGCATGGCTGCTGCGGCGAAACCGACGGGTGTGTTGATGGCGGGGGGAGTGGGTATGGGGGTTTTGGGGCTGGCGTTGGTTCTGTGAGGGGACGACCGAATGAATGAACGTGAATGTGATCAAAGCGATCCACATCGATGGACGTCTGAAAAACAAGGAATGAGTGGCAATGATACGAAAGTACGGAATATGGATGATGTGATGACTGTGAATTAATCTAGGCTTGAATGAACTAGATGTCTGTCTTTCTATTGGGTAATGACATCCACGGGTATAGTTCTTCGGTTAAGCTTTGGTGGAGATGCGGAGAAATCATGCGCTCATGACAAGATATATTGGATTGTGTTATGACTTACGACAGGGTAGACACTTAAACCAGGCAGGATGATAGGTAGACATGGAGCAATGACTGAGACTAGTTTCTATCCTGTGCTTGATAGAAAGCGATGGCAATTGTGATTTTGCCAATTCTTGGAAAGAATAGCGAGGTACTCCATAGAGCGATTTCACATGAGTCTCTGATCCCGAGGTTCCTGAATGAGTCTACACTCAGATCGTCAACGATCAACAGTCACAGCGCTCTAGCTTCAGCAGCTTCACCATTGTCGAATCCACTGTTAGACTACCTGATAATGCAGACCGCGAATCCAACAGTAAGGTATGGAGTAAACCCGACCAGATGCGAAGATTGATTAAAGATTGACATGCCTACGTATGTGGCTCATAGACCCTGAATCATTAATCTATCTGAGGGGTATATCTTAATAAAAACCGCGTATATTCGAGACAATGCCTTGGGGTGTCTCCACATCATTCAGGGACCGGCGTCAGCTACCGAAAAGGGAAAGCATTGCGGCACGCGGGCTAATGTGGAGAGTGGAGTTGCAGGCTGGAGAAGTGGAGGGGACCAAACGCTAAACATCACATGAATATCGAAAGATTGGGACATCTTTATCTTTGGCTTCAGTCAATTGCCCTAGGTTGGCTTGATAAGATGATGAAGTCAGGGCCTGAACGCTTGACTGAAAATCTACAGCCTCGGAGGTAACTGTCCAGATCCACGGCTGCAGGGCTAGACTCTGGTTGGGACCAAGACATGTAAAATCGGGGATTTACTCCAGGACTCCATAGACTAGATAGACCCAGCGCATGTGTGATGAAGCTGATGGCGACAGAGCTGGTTTCACAGTTGATAGCGGGGTAATCATGATGCTTGTTTCTTGCAACTGAGGCCTCGTATCCTAGATTAACAGTGCCTTAGATAGCAAATACATATACTTACCTCTTGTCGGGTGTATCATCTACTTCTCCAACCCATCAGACACGTCTTCCTTATATCAACAAGGAACAACAACAACAACACCACAAATATGCGTCTCTCAAGCTTCCTCCTTCCTCTCCTCCCCCTCGCCCTCGCCAACCCCAACCCAGTGGCCGCACCAGCTCCCCAATCCACAGGCGGCCTCCTCTCCGACCTCCCCACCATCCTCAACGGCGTCAAAGAGCTCCTAAGCCAGGAGACCCTCAACGACCTTCAAACCATCGTCAAAGGTGGCGCCGTGCTCCTGGGCGGCGACAACCCGTCTAACATCGCTAAGTTGCTCTCGGGCGATAATGTCAACAAGCTCCAGGATGTGATTAATAATGCGCACTCACTCTTGACGCCGACGTTTGTGAATGAGACGTCGACGTTGATTGGGGATGCGACGCCGGTATGTGTATTTTTTTTACCTTTGATGAGGTTGGTTGCTGACGTTTGTAGCTGGTTTCGGCTGTGGAGAAGTTGCTGGGTGGGTTGATGGCTTCATTGACGTAGGGTTGTTCTGGAGTCATGGGTATATGAGTGATGAATTCATGGGTAAACATACATATACGGATGATTCTTGATTGATTATTATAAAATGGGATGATGCACAGGCATCAATGTCTTGTTTCTCTTACTCGAGTGGAAGCTGTGCAGAGGATAGGATTCTTGAAGTAGGTTCATTGCGAATTCATTAGAGCACAGGGAGTATACGGAAATGACCGATTAAACAACATTCAAATGTTTCCTCAACTCATCCAGATAGTACCGCAATGGATAAGACCGCATCGACGCCGGGAGTGCAGGATAGACTGCATTCGAAAACCCCATCGTGCTCCGGTACAACCCCCGCGTCCCCATCGTAGACTTGAGCCCATACTCCTCTCGAAGCCTCGGCGGCAGCATCTCGATCGTCACCACCCGCAGAAACGGCTTCAGCATCTGCACCCACCGCGGCACAGCCTTGTCATGCAGCAGATCTTTGGCGAACTTGTTCGCGTCTGGCGTGACCGTCAACCGCTCGATGTGGTCGTCCCAGTACTTCCAGAACTTCTGGCGCGTCTCTGGCCAGACACCCGAAGGCAGGCCCAACGTGTGGATTAGAAGACCAAACTCCGCGTAGGCCTTTTCGGCCGTCCGGTAGTCTACTCGGCCGTAGATGCGTTGGTAGAAATCTGTTGCCGTGGCGTAGAGCGTCGCCGCGATCCAGAGCTGGACGTCAGGCGCGGCGGCGTAGTAATGCTCGCTACCGCGAAGAGGAGGCTGTCCGCGACCAAGCATCTCGAGCAGTGCCTTCTTCTCCTGCCGCGTGCCAAAGACTAGACAGGAGAAGTAGCTCAGCATTGCTTGCAAGGCATCGCCTAGCTCGGTGGCTAGATTGGGGCCGTTGCTGGCTTTGTCGTGATCGTTGCGAATATCGGGTAGGGCTGCTTGTAGGAGGAGCGCAGTCCCTGATCCTGCGAAGAGGATGCCCTCCTGGAGGATTTGGGGGAGGATTTCGAGGTTATCCAGCGCATCGAGAGGATAAGTTTCTGACTTGATGCTATTGGTGGTGGGTGTTTGAGTCTTTTCTTCGGGGAGCGTTTTATCGAGGGACATTTTGACGCGATGTCGTATTCCTTATCCAGAATGATTATGCCAGGTTTTTGCTCTCTTCTTCCCGCTATTGAGTGATGGACTTGATGCAAGGATTGGGGAGATGCCACTGTGGAGATAGGAGACACCCTGAGGTCCCATGCGATCTTCAACCCTTCCACACAGTTTTCACGACTTTCATCTCATCATTGATGAATGATCTCAGAGCACATGCAGACCTCTACAGTTGCCCATGCTTCGCATCCGAGAGATTTCGTCATTTTCTAAACCCCCGCATATTCACCCCCTAACCGCGGAGAGAGTTCCGTTTCCCCAACTTTCGGGCTTGTTCAGCGTCTGTGGCACTTGCGGGCAGAGCTTGAGTCGAAACAACCCGACCATGAAGCCACTTTCGTACTATTCCCCACCGTCCATCTGACAAGGGTTTCCCAGCAATGAGCTAACAACCGCGGTTCTTTAATAGTTTGCGATGATCGTTATTCCAATGGCCGCATGTGAACTGTTAATTAATCGCCGGGATTGGCTGCAGGGGAGATCGCCGAAGTCGTAGTGCCGATCATGCGGAGGGAACCCCCTAAAGGGGCTTAAGTCTCTACGAAAATGGCCAAACTCAGTACAATAAAGCAAGAATTGCGAGCACTTGGGCCCAGAGCTAAGCAAAACGGCGTAGAAAATAAAAAAGCAATTTTGATTTAGCTCGGAGCTAGGAAATGAAGAAAACGAAGAAAATGAAATTATCGTGTGATGGTGTGGCCCGCAATCAGCTATGACCCTCGTGCGGATCGAGGTTGACAGGGCGAAGATCTTGGATTCAAACCCGTCACGTCTTCTTCATTTATATCCATTGCTACCAGCTACCCCGGATTTCGAGGTCTGGTCTATCTTTAGACTCTTGCTATCTGGATCACTGTCACCATGGCCGAGATGGAAGAAAAGCCCTCCTATCTCAGTGCCAAAGGGGCCAAGTATGCCCTCGGTATCCATCGAGGGCCTTTACCCCCGGCCAATGGAGACGGTGGGGAGATTGAACATGTCGAGACAGCATTATCGTTGGAGAGGAAAGAAAGAACGAAGAAAGAGGCCATGCGTCGCCATTGGGCCCGGTTCTGGTGCTGCTATATGTTCTTCTCGATCATTTTCCTCGCCATCATGCTCCCGGTCTTGTTTGTCTTTCCGCCCTTGTTCACGGCGTCTGTGACCTTTCTGACATTGGAATAGCTTCCTGGTGATACTTCCGGCTGTTTCTCAACGAGTTGTCGACAATTCTGACCTTGTTCTTGTCGATGCAAGTGTCATGCAACCTCGTCCAGACTCGGTAATCCTCACTATGCAGTCTGCCCTCAAATTGCCCATTGGACTTCCCGTTCGTATCGATCCCATCACTTTGGACCTCTTCAACCGGGACGAGCCTGGAAACGGCACCTGGACCAAATTGTACCTCAACGGGACAACTATCTCGGGAAACACCACTTTGGGAGTCACTAATCAGTTCTCTCCACTCAATACGGATCAGTGGGCCAAATATGTGCACAGCGTGGTGTTTGAGGAACATGCACCCTTGTCGTTGAAGGGGACTACCATGTCGTACCTGGGCAAACTTAAATCCCGCGTGACGATGGACAAGACGATCAAGCAAAACAGTAAGCGCACACCTTTATTGGTAACGAGATCACTGGCTGACCTTCTCAGCCCTAAACGGCTTCGCCGGATTTTCCATCGAGGGGTCGCAATTGCTTCTGCCTGCCGAACCAGATGGTACCAACCTGATCGCCAACGCCACTTTGCCCAACCCCTCGGTCATGACATTGGAAATCGTGAGTCAGCAGCATGAGCCACTGTCGAGTATCTCTAACAATCGATAGGGCACAACTGTGTTGGACCTGAAGAGCGGCGATCTCGTCATCGGCAACGCAACGATCGATAATCTCGTTCTGAGACCGGGCAACCATTCCAATCCCGTCCGCGGCAAACTCGATCTTGGATATGTGCTGAAGAACCTTGGACCCGTCCTGCAAAGCCAGAAAGACTCCCTCCGCAACGGATATCTGACTCTCGACACCGTTGCCAAATCGATCGTTTATGACGGCGTGGAGGTGCCGTATTATACGAATGTGATGAAGGACCTGACCCTTAGCGCAAAGGTTCCTATCGGCGGGCTGCTGGTCAACACTCTCCGGGGGATTTTCCACAAGAACGGGACAAACATCCTCAGCCAGATGAATATCACGGACTCATCGTCGTCGGAAAGCACGAGCGGTCTGCTGTCCGAATTGCAGCATTTGAACTTGAGCAGTCTGGGCGGAGGTCTGAGCAGTAAATTGACCAGTCGATCGCTGGCAGACTTCCTGGATCGTCCCGACGATAAGAATTTATTGGCTGATGTGCTGAAGGGATTCTTGTGAACGAATCACGACATGCTTGATGAACGGTGGATATTGACATGAGCGGCGTTTGGAGTGTTTTGATTTCTATTTTGTCTCTTCTATTTCTTGTGCATAGATGAAGAGCAATTCCCTTGTATATACATGGACAAACACAATATTTATGCTTGAAATTATCCAATAATTCAATCCACGAAACGTCCCTCCGCATTGAAATTGGAAACGTGGGGAGCCAAGCACGCCAGCGGGAAGAAAAAGCCATGTGAAGATGAGACCGTGACATCGGGTCTTGCTTCTTGCATGGATCTACGGTAATTTCCACCTATCACATTCCATCCTTCAGGGTTGCACTCGTTGTCTCTCGTCGGCCGATGACCCGAGCGTTTAGCGGATATCTCGTCTTGCCAGGCTCATTGGTCAGTACCAAGGCAGTCCGTGGTAAAGTCTCTTCATACACTTAGTGAGGCCTTTTGGAGCCAACTGCCAATGATATTGGGAGGATTAAGACGGATGTCACTTCTCGGTGTCCATTTTCCCGCACCGGCCAGAGCTTCCTTCTCCTATTTCTTGAGCTTAAGGAAGGGTCCATACTCCATAGCCTGGACTGAATGGCCGATAAAGTAGTGGAATATGTAACCCGTGGAGCTAAAGAGGACCCTTAACCTATCTACCTACCTTGTGGTCCTTTGTGTTTGGGGTAACAGCAAGGTTGCAAGGACAGCTCACCACGTGGATAGGTCATATTATGTGTAACATCGATGCTGACATCTCCGTCAAGAGTCCTAAGCTCCTCATCCAGACCAGTCAAGCCTTAACCCGACGTGTTAACTTTGATGGATTGCGGGGGAGGCGTTTGAGGGACGGCCCCCATGATCCAATATCAGCGCTATCCGCACATCGCAACCCTGTAATATCGCGTTCCAGTCCACATGATGTTGGTGGCGTTTGCCCAGAGTCGTACTAGTCCAGAACTTTGCGCTCTTGGTCTGACCCTAGATACGTCGTTCTGTTGGCAGGTAGTACTGGGATGTTGCCGTGCGCCTTGGATGTGGTCCAATCGTTGCTGGCGTTCACCCCGGGATTAATGAATCAGACGACTCGGGACTGTGGTATTCACTACTAGACTGGTCCATCAGACACAACGGGACATGCCGCTAAATGGCCCGTTTGTTTCTCTCGGATTATGTCCTGGAGCTATGTCCGGGTTTGGTTTGTTCTCACTTGCGGGGGCAGAGAGTATTTAACTGCTGGGGGGTACTCGCATCTTCGATACTTCTTCTCTCCTTGGTCTCTTCTTGTCTTGCCAAGTTTCTTCTTTTCTCTTACAGTGGCTGGCCTGTCGTACAAAGCTTCTTTGACAGCTGGCTGCAAAAATGAAGAAGTTCTACAATGTCTACTTTCTCTGTAGCTTCATCACCTTGGGTAAGGACCTCTCCCTATAGAATTGCTTATAGAATGCCTCACTGACACTCCCAACCAAACAAAAGGAGGAGGATTATTTGGGTAAGGACATCTCCATATAGAATTGCTTGTGGAACGCCTCACTGAGTCTCACAACCAAACAAAGCTTCGATATTTCATCTATGTCAGGGGTCCTGGGAACTCAAGCCTATGTGAACTACTTCCGTGTGGGCAGTGGCCAGTATAAGCAGGCAAGTTTCCATCTAGCGCTCTATCTCGACTCTCGAGTTCCCTGTTCTAAACTAGTACTAGGGTGGCATCACCTGTGCCATGCCCTTTGGCTCGCTCATTGGTGCCCTTTGCTCGAGTTTCATTGCGGATCGCTACTCTCGTGTCACTGCAATCCAGTTCTCGACTATCCTGTGGACTATTGGCTCCATGTAAGGCTGTCGCATATCTGCATCTGCCATGCCAACTAATTCCTCTAGCTTTATGACTGCCTCCAATGGTATCGCTCTCCTCGTCGTCGGTCGTGTCATCGCGGGTCTTTGCATCGGTATCGCCTCGGCTATGGTTCCTGTCTACCAGGCAGAGATCGCTCCAAAGGAAATCCGTGGTCGAGTTATCTCCCTCCAACAGTGGGCCATCACCTGGGGTATCTTGATTCAGTTCTTTATTGTGGGTATCCGGCTCCTTTATTTCAGACGGAGACAATTTCACTGACAATTGACAAGCAATATGGTGCCAGCAACGTCGATGGCGGTCCCGATAATCCGACTCAAAGTACTGCTGCCTTCCGCATTCCGTGGGGTATCCAGATGGTGCCTGGCTTTATCCTCTTCGTCGGCCTGTTCTTCTTCCCCAAGTCGCCCCGTTGGCTTGCAAGCAAAGACCGCTGGGAGGAAGCCATGGAAGTGCTTGCCAACCTTCACGGGAACGGAGACCGCAACCATCCCAAAGTTCTGGCTCAGTATCAGGAAATCGAGGAGGCTTTGGCCCTGGAGCGTGAGCAGGCGTCTACTAGCTACCAGGAACTGATCCAGCCTCGCATTGCCAAGCGTGTGATCCTTGGTATGAGTTTGCAGATGTGGTCTCAGTTGTGCGGTGAGTTGGTCGCAACATCTAACATGAGGCGCACAAACTAATGGCTGGCTGCTACAGGTATGAACGTCATGATGTACTACATTGTGTATATCATGCAGAGTACTGGAACTGGCAGCCCTCTTCTGACGGCTTCCATTCAGTACATCTTGAACACTGCTTTGACCCTGCCTGCCATCATGTACCTCGACAAATTCGGTCGTCGTCCTGCTATCCTGATCGGTTTTGCCTTGCAGGCTATCTTCCTGTACATTGAAGGAGGTCTACAGGCTGGATTTGGCAAGCCCAACCCGCACACAGACCCCAAGCTCGATGCCATTTCTTGGACTGTGTCCGACCATCCCAACGTTGGTAAAGCGATCATCGCGCTCTCCTATCTCTTCGTCTGCTCCTTCGCGACAACCATCGGTCCTACCTCGTGGACCTACCCTGCGGAAATCTACCCGGCCAAGGTTCGCGCCAAGGCTGTCTCTCTCGCTACCGCGTCGAACTGGATCTGGAACTGTCTTCTTGCTCTGTTCGTCCCACCTCTGCTGTGGTCGATCAACTGGAAGATGTACATGATTGTACGTGGCCTTGCCGTGATCCCAATTCMCAAACTGTCAACTAACAGTTCTTACAGTTTGCCGCCTTCAATACCGCAGCCTTCATCCACATGTTCCTCACGGCCCCTGAGACCAAGGGTTACACTCTCGAGGAAATGGACGAAGTCTTCGACAGTGGTCTTCCCGCCTGGCGTAGGCTCGACAAGCGCAGCAGACTGGAGGAGCTCGAACAGGAGATCGCCCAGGGCAAGCTCAAGGTCACTGGTCACGGCGAGAAGGATGGACCTGTTGCTGCTACTACCGAGACCGGGGAGAAGCAGACCGAGACGGTCTAGACGGTACCTTGTTTCTGGACCTTGGTGGAAGACTTTCCTTTTTAATAGGCACAATGGTGCACGGGTAATAATTTGGAACATGAGCTGACTACTTCCGGGCTTGGCTACTCCAGTTCCGTGTTGGTTAACTTAGTTAATCTCAGGTAGTCCTCATGATCATCTAATGCGAGTGCTGTCGACAGTAATATCAATCCAATGTTGTTGTCAGCCGTTCCCACGTTCTCAGGTCCGTAATGAGTCTACGCTAGTGGAGTCGATATACCCAATGCGATACACAAGCACTGTTTAACTCTCAACGCTGAGCAACCACAGTTGGCTCGGATAATTTGCCTGATCGTCCTCCTTAACAGCAGCTGTATGTCAAGATAAAACATAGTATCTAGTTACAGGCATAGGCACGGCACATGGCTCTCATCTTCATAAACACTGACAATGATCAAAGTCAGTCACAGCAGATTCCGCAACAGAACAGTCCTGTAAAGCCAAGTGCTTGTAGAACCTACATTCACCACCTCTTGTCATATTCACCCTCAGTAAACAATGCAAGATTCACTGTATCTTTCCCCATCTCCCACGCCTCTCACTCCCCCATCTACGTCATCCGTCTCCGTCTAACACCACCATCACACATCACGTGCCTTCAGCAACCCTCAAGAGATGGCTACTACTACGTCCTCCGTCACCATCAACGTAAGCTCTCAGTCTCGTCCCAAATATTAAGATACCAATACTAACAGCAACCCCAAAAACACAGTTCTACGGCGAGCTCCGCCAGCTCTGGGTCGAGATAAACTCCCACTGCGAGAGACTCCATCTCCTCGACTCCACTACCCGCGTGTTATCCGCCTGTATCGAATGCAAGATTACGCCCTACGGGATGGTTCCGCTTGATATTGACGGGCTCGAGAATGCAGACGAGTACGTTATGCAGTTGGTAGTAAGCATAGCATTCGCTGTTCAGACCTTCACTTCACTTGTAGGTTGAAGCTTACCGTGAGAAGATATGTGGTCCAGAGTTCCCCGTCGGCCCGATCATCTCGTTCGTTGACTCAGTCCGCATGATGTGTGAGCCTGTGAGTGGATCCGCGCAGGTGCATATTACGGCTATTGCGGTTCCGTATGCGGTTCGTTGCTTTGCCTTTCTTGATGGATAATGCGCTTGCTGATGAGGAGGGCAGACGCAGCAGCCTGATGCTGCGGCCGCTGGCGGCTACTAGGTTCTGGATCGCGGCGTTCCCTTGCTATGAGGATGCCATGTGCTATGTGCAGGACGGCTTGAACTTGGGAAGCTTAGTGGTACGTACGATTTGAGATTGGTTGCAAGGTATAGTAGGCTGACTGGGTTCTACCGCAGGAAGACGCACGGTTACAAGTGCCAGATTGAGCATTGGCCGATGTCGTTGGAGGACGGCTCCTGGTGCTGATGACAGATGGAGGAAAGCCAGAGGATAGTCTTGAACTAGAACCAGATATCATCTTGACCTTGTCGAATGTGATTGCTCTGGTTGGTTATCCTATCGTCTAGTTGAAATGAGCTCCAACGATTCTTGAACTTCGATTCGTCGAATAATCGAGCGCAGCAATTAGATCACTCTGAAAGTAATCTCCCGATTTTGCAAATAGCTTGCTGGCATGATCTTTCTCTAGGCCACGATAGTAGTGATGAAATTTGTTATGCCTGGGGCACCATACAATTCCCTTTTTCTGTGCAGATGATCACTGTTGATCTTCCCACTCCGCTTCTCGTCCTGGATACTTGGTCCACGATAACTTAGTGACTACTGGACGTCCAGTCAGAGGCAGCATTCTGGCTGCGGTGATCTGATCTGTCAAGAACTGCGGTCCTGTGTGACTTGTCATTTTCAGGGGCTGACCTCTTGTGTTTACTCGACTGCGACCTTCAGAGCTATGTCATCTCAAGTACCAGCGGTTCCCAACTCAACCCTGATCTCTGGCTCAGAAGCACAACTGTGCGTCTTACTGCCTCTTAATGATGTGATTTTGTCACCAGCCCTCGCAGACCTACAAGCTGTGCAGTGTGCACAGACTTTGGACCAGTTTCGAGCAGTTTGGGGGCCATTCCATTGCCCCAATCAAGTTGACCGACAAAGAGATTATAAAGCGACTCAGTGGATGCCGAACTGCCGATCGAATCTGAGCCGCAGGATCTGCATGGGTTCAAGGGACAAACTGACAAAGAGCAAAGTCCCAACAGTGGAGCTGATTGCTGTTGGTTCCTTTTGTTCAGTATTGTGAAACCTCAACCTCCTTTGCCTTTTTCATTTGTCAGCCCTGGCGGCGCACTGTTTCACCTTCGTTCGCCTTCTATTGTCGATAATCTCCTGCATCAACAAAGGCAGGATACCGCTGACGAAAGTGGTTGTCGATATCTGACATACTCTGAGATACTTCCTGTCGACCGAACCTGTCTGCCAGGAAAATTTTCGCAAGCTTGCATTAAGGCAATACCTGGAAGCCGGACTTGTGTATGGCTATCTGTGCGTCCTGTTTCGTAATTGGATTCCGAGACAACCTCACCGCCGTTTGACTCCTGACTCAAGCGATTCCAGGCCGGCATGATGGAACTCAAACTCACAGTACATTACCTCTTTACCTAGCGCTTCTCTGCGCAGAAGCCAACCCAGCCAGCGCGACTTGCTATAATCTCGGCAAAAGCAAAGCACCGGATGATGTGCCTTGTCGAACAAATGGAACCTCAAACTGCTGTAACAGGCAAGATGTCTGTCTATCAAACGGCTTGTGCTATTTGCAGGGTTCACATCCAAATGCCCTCTCGCGTGGAAGCTGAACGGACATAAACTGGGGGCCAACGTGTTATGCTCCATGCTGTACGTTTGATTCCCCTTCCATGACTCGCTATTGCCCATCATTTTGAAAAGCGCTTATCCATGCCTCATACTGACCATGCCTCAATACTGACCATGCCATCTGGCGGACATCAGTCGAAAAAGCGGCTATCCGATCTTCAACATGGGCTACGACACAACAGATGCCAAATACTGCTGCGGATCCGTGGTGGACAATAAATGCGCAGATGGTGATCCCTTGACGATGGACAACGGGGCAGTGATACCAAGAGTAGCAGCTGTGGCCGGTTACTCGAATGCTTCGTCAATTACCAATGCCACCTGTCCTACAGGGAATAGTTCATCATCCCCATCCCACGACGTGGCCATCGGCGCAGGAGTTGGTGTGCCATTGGGTGCAATTGCTTTGGCATCAATCGCCTGGGCGCTATGGGAGCGTCGGCAATGTAAATATGCTCGCCTGGAGATATGCCGGCGACCGGAGCTCAGGCGACAGGCCAATACCAATATCAATATCCCTCGCACGGTGTATATCAATCGCGTCCGGCGGAGCTCGCGCAAACCGGGGTGGAATCGGAGTTGGACAGCAACGGGGACGCAAATGACTTCCGCCCTATCTTTCTGACATTGGTCAGCAAGTCTTCAGGTTATGTATAATGTAATAATTCAGGATACGTATGTAGATATCTCATTCATACTGGTAAAAGGAGCCAGACACGGAGGGGAATGAAATGCTGAGGACACCAAGCACAACCAGACACATCATACGTCGTGCGAGCCTCGCCCTGGCTGCATGTCAGGCCACCTGCTATGAGAAGTGCAGTGTGCAGATTGGCTTAGCTCTTGCTCAATAAGCAGACGTGTGAGGATGACTCGGTCCACTCTTGATGTTAATAAGACTGCATCTTGGGTATCCGTAATTAAGTGCTTTTTGGGCATACGAGACAAAGAAGCTTAAGTGGGTACGCCTCGTATTCCTTCAGTTACAGGTATTGGTTGCAGAGCGACGAGTGTGAATACGGGATGGTCGACAAGTTGCGGTCAGTAGCCCAAACGCACACCATACTGACGAGATATAGCTTTGATTTATTTGATTAATTACTCACAACTGTGACTAGTGAGAATGGATCGGTCACCGAAGCCAATATCCATGATTAATGCTTAGATACATAGCCGGCTCCTCCCGGACAGATGGCACCGCCTGGTTCGTCCTCGTTGTATTGGGGGGAGTCTGTAGATGCATTGTCCGCTCCTGCTGGCGTGGAGGCATGATACCGGTTGCGTGATTGCCATTGGGCTCCCAAGACTGGACGCCCGAGGCGCCCAGAGTAAGACGTTTCAGACCTGGATGCCTGATGACAGGATCAAAGTTGATGAGGATGATGGCTTGGTTGCCGCCGCACAGTCCTTCTTGATCGATAGAGTAGATGACTGAGCGCTCGTCTGCGACCGCTTGGATTTTGCCGATGCGGTGGGACGGGCAGAGCAGCTGGCTCAGCTCCGCGGGGGCGTTGTCGGGCGGCCACATGTGGATTCCGCGGGAGGCGAAACGCTCCTCGCTGTGTTCGATGGGATTGCCGCCATCGTCGGTGAATTCTGGTTTGTGGAGAGTGTTGTTTGCCTCGTCGATGGGGCTCTTGCGTTTGCGAGAGACCGTCCGCAGGCGGAGGCGATCGTGTGGGATGTGGCTGCCTCCTGGTGATGATGGGTGGGGGTCGTTGACGAGGTCAACGAATGTCGAGGCCGAGAGGTTGTAAGTGCGGAACTTGGTTTTGGCCAGGATGAAGTCGCGTCGCTGGTATGGGGTGTCCTGGTCGTGGCTGACGTTGTCCTCCAATGGATATTCCGAGTGGTAGTGTCTGCGCAGCCGTTTCCGGGGTCTCTCGTAGATTGCCTTGTTCGACGAATCTAGTGTCTTGGTTAAGGGCTCGTCTGGCAATTCAGCAGCTATCGAGCTGCACGGTGGGTGGTTGGCCGGTCGCTTACTCCGAGAGATCTCTGCAGGCGACGGAAGGGGCTGCATGTAGTAAGTCCGGCAATTATCGCTGCCTCCATTGCGCCATTCGCGGCGACATTCTAGGATCAGCAGTTGGTTGGTCGCTTCGTCCTCTCGAAGCGAAAGGTCAGACCACGTATCATTGATTGGGCCTTCGCGATGCTGTCGACGCCACTCGGTCCTGGGCGTCGCCGACACCGTATTCCCGCGAGGGGGCAGACAGATCCACATGTACAACGAGGTCCAGTCAACTTCTTCTTCTTCAAAGTCTACCAGGGTCGAAACGGCATACAGATGGTCCTGATGCACCTCGAAGCAGACGGTCTGCCCAATCTCATTGCCCACAAAATTGTGCAGCTCAACAGGTTTCTCTGTTGTGTGTCGTCCAGTAGCTAAATCCACGCAATGGACCGCCCACTGCGGATAGCCATAATGACTCAGTGCAGACTGAGTTCCGTAGTAAAGGTAGGACCTGTTATGTCGGACAAAAAGTCGTCGTGTTGACTGAAGCGGCGTGCGGAGACGTAATCGACCGGTCTTGCAATCTGTTTTCCTGCGCATATCTACCGCAAGAAGCCAAGCATCCCGCACCTCCCCAATCTCGACCAGAAATGCCAGAATCCCGTCACGGTAGTGCAGTAGCGATATCTGGATTGTGTCTCGCGCTGGGTTGCAGCCTGGAATCGCACGAGAGAGAACATTGTGGACGTTCAAAACCTGCTCTAATTGACCAACCCCATGCACATCCAAGGCACGAATCTTGTTGTCGTAAATGTAGCAGAGGGAGCCTTGGTTGTACAGAAAGGCCGACCCGTAGGCGAGAACCAAGGCCGAATACGGTTGAGCTGTGGCGAAAGCCTCCTTGATATCAAACAGACGGCCAACTGCTCTACGATAACCAGTCCTAGTTCTATCCGCTTCCCGTCCCTCCTTGGAATGTAGCAGGTGGTTCTAAATCAAGTTAAAATGCTGCCCTCGGTCTAAACTTTCCAGAAAAGTACACACCTCGATTGTCTTTCTCGCAATGGACTCATTTCGCATCAAGGTGTTGAGAGCCTGGTTGACTCGACTGAGATGGATAAAGTCGTGGCAGTTCAACCCCGAGGCGATCTGGTAGAACACATCATAGGGGATGGAGTCCAGCTTCTTGGTCATGTCGTTCATGTCCAAAGCAGGATGAAGAGATAATAGCTCCAATTGAGCATGGGTAATGTATCGAATACAGAACGATGGGTGGTAATAATGTTGTAGTCAAAATACGCGGTGTCGATGATGTGATGACACTGATGGTGGTGCGAATAGGAATTGATAATGAGTATCCCCTACGGTGGAAATCCACTCATCCATCTTGCATGTCACACGCGGAGAAAGAGTTGTAGAATATATGAAGAAACTCATTTGAGCCTCCTGCTTGAGCCTCTGTATAAGCTTTGTCCATCAGGGTAGGATTGGCCCACTGGATGACGCGTGGATTATTGGATATGGATTCCATCCCGAATCTCACGGATCGAGCTAGCTCCTAAGGAGCTCAGAAATGATAGCAGTCTAACGGTTTTGGAAAAGAAAATTCAAGGCTGTCTTGGCCTCACAAAGCAAAATAAAAGGATTACCACTTGCCAGTCAGCCACAACACCAGGAAAGGGTCTGGGCGGTACGAATGCTGATCAGCGCCACGCTCAGTTATCTTCAGATGGGTCATCATGATTCATGGGTACGCATCCAATGATCCAGTAGTGGCCACTGCAGAGCCGCAAGTCCCCCAGAGGATCCGGTTCAGGACTCCTTCTTCCAATTTCTGTGACTTTTTCCAACTACCACTAGTGTTATTGACGAGGCTCTCCAATCGCTCTGCGTGTCCTTTCAACCCCCAAAATGGGGCTCTCCATTGAAACAAGTTCCCAAGCCGTAATGCTGTTCCCACCGAGTTCGTGCTACAATTTGTGTCACCTCAGCAGCACATTTATCGGAGCTAAAAATATTTGCAAATGACATTTCTCTAATGGTCGATTCCTGATCTCCAATAAGCGATCCTGGAAGGCCTAGTGAGACATCTCCAAGACCGCCTCGGTCCCTCACCGATTCCGGAGTGCCGCCAAAAATCACTCCTTTGTGGATTCTGATGAGGCTCAAAGTGGCAATTTGCAAACTTGCTGGCGTCAACGCAAGGGGAACACTCGAGAAAGGACTGACCCTACGGACTTCCGGAGCTCCTAGTCTAGTGCAAATTCCAAGATTCCATCATCATCGTATCCATGATGAAGATTCGCCCAATTCGGAAACGAAACGAGCAAAATTCACTCATGTTCCTATTGTCAACTGACCGACTAAACAGCCACCACTTGCCGAGCCTCAATACTCCGTTTGTCTTGTCGACCCCGGAGTTATTGGCTGCCTAAAGAGGGGAAAATTTGGTCTCAAACTTTCTAGCCACCTTGGATTGTCTAGACGACAAAACCCACTCGGAATCGCGTTTCTCTTTGATTATCGATCCGTGATGATTATTGTTACCAGAATCAGGTTAATCATCAAAGGATGCAACACTTGGTCGTACCTTTTGGTGGCTGGCCAGCATTGAAAGCTCTCCGCCTGCGCCCAAAACCCAACCATGGCCTCGTTTCTAAGGCAGCCGACCCGCCAACTGGACAGTATGCAGGATCATCCAAATGCTGTACTATCAAACACATCTGATCTCTCAAATTCTCCATCACTTGTCAAGCATCCAAGCGAGCACTTTGTGTGACTTTCGAGTCCTCGAATTGCCAGCCTTGTCCCGTCCGTGAGTTCCTGAGGGTCTGGCCCCCGCTTTTGCACTGCCTCGCGCTTCCAAATGTCCGAAACGATGATCAAACAGGCACGCCAAACAAGGCTGGCACAAGGCTGGAGAATCAGAGTCTCGGGGTTGGAAAGGCTGGGGCACAGGCGAATTGTATCCAATCGGAATCCTCTCCCCGTATGTTCCTTGTCGATGTCATGGTACGGACGGGACCAAGCATGATGCATGATTGCTGATGGCCGGCTGGGCTTGTTACGCTCCCGAGTCCCACCAGTAGAAAACCCTCCGATGAAGTCACGCTCAAAGCCTGTGTTTGTGTGCTCTCGATCGATCACAATGCGGGGTATCTGAACTTGGGAATCAGGCACAGCTTTGATAGCTCCTCGAAGTCTGGCCGTGGCATTGGGCGTGCCACGGAGTTTACTGGTCAGCAGTGCAGTAAGCAGTGCGTCCGATGTCAGCGCTAAGAGATAAGATGACCACTTTGCAGCAAATAGTGTTGCCTGGGTCCGGTGCTATGATTATCGTCCCGGTGCAACGCACGGCCAGCCAACTATTGGCCACTTTGTCCGCTGTCATCAGCGTCTATAATTAAAATACTTATGCCCGCATTCCAACGACAGCTCCACCTGGGGCTCAATCGCCTGTCACGACGGGATCGAACCGATGGTTTCCTCGTTCTTGACAACTTGGAATCTGACGTCACGGGCAGTGTGACATAGTCCACATCCTCATAGTTTCGACGATCCTCGTCACGCTTCCAAATATTGTCGCAGTGGAAAGACGTCTTGCATGTCTGTCCCGCGCTTGAAAGCTGGCAACGTTTGTGACGAGCACAGAATACCAAAGGAGATCA